TTGTAATTTGCTGGTGTGACATAGGCAGGGAGTTGGATCGACGTGATGATGCCTACAGGAGGAGATGGTTGACAATGTCTTCCCTTGAGGAGAAGTTAGAAATGAAGAATTTGTCAATCAAACATGAACAGCAACACATGGGAAGAGGTCACTCTTCTAAGAAAAGACATAAAGTCACTGTCAGTGATTATGATGTAAGATACATGTACATGTATGCCCTAAACCCTTCTCTCTTGGTCTCTACTTCCTCCTTCTCCAGTTGTGTCTTCTATAGTAGGGCCACACTGACTTTGCCATTTTAAATTTTGAATAACTTTCTTATTTTAAGTGCTATAAACGGCGGTGTTTCACTTTTGTGCAATGCTTGGATTTTGGGTTCCTTTGATATAAGATAATAGTAGAGCGAAGCTTGTCAAAGTGAAAGAAAAAAATCAAAGCACGAGGCCACTTAGCAAGTACTTACGCCATTACTACCACCTACGCTTCGTGAACACGTGGGCAGCAAGCTGACTGCAAGAAAGATGGCGGCGATTCAACAGCAGAGGGAACGGGAAGGAAATAAGACGAAAAGGACAAAGAATATGACTGGAATCACAGGCGAAGACAATTAGAGGCAACGTTTAAGAGGACAGCATACGCTACAAGTAAGTCATCTTTTTTAAGACAATGAAACTGTTCAAACACTTCCCGTTCAGCCACGCAGATGGTTTTCTCTTCTTTGAGGACCACTACTGGCAGAATGATAGGCTTGGTGTACAAGCAAGACTTAGTGTGTCTGAGTTTATTTGTTACTCATGTCAGTTGTGAATCCAGTGATGAACCTGATTAGATGAGCAATCCCACCAGTCAGATAGCCTGCTGGAACCCAAAACTCGGCCTTTCTCTATGATATCAAGGCAGCAACTGACAAGGCCATTTGACTATTTTTTATCTCTTATTTTATATACTTTTGGTTTTAATAAAAATTACAAATGTACTGTACTTTTTAATTGCATTCTTAGTGGTAAACATTAAGATAAACAAATACTTAACAAACACTTATTCATAATTGTCAGCTACTTAAAAGATGACCTATGAAGGTTGAATTTATAATGAGTGGAAAAGTCAACGTGGCCCTAGTATAGTTGTTTCTCTTCCTCTAGTGCAACTGTTCCTAGTCCAGTGGTCGTTGAGGAGGTAGTCACTACAACTAATAATAATGAGAATGATGATTTTATACATATTGAAGATGATGATGATGATTAAATTGAATCACAACATTAAGAAATAGTAAAATATTATTAGAAAGTAGAAATTTTGAGTAGTTGTGACTGGTTGCACGTGTTTGAAGTTTACGTACAGTACAATTATAGTATACGGATTGAAGTGTATGGGCGTTACCTCATCATTTACCAAAATGGCAGCTAAAGGTCCTGGAAAAGGTCACTCACTATTAGTGTATCATTCAGTTACTGTTACCTCTTGTTATCTATAGACTATCAACCAGTGAAGAGGATGTACCACTCCACTGTACGGGTAGGAGACTATCTGTATATGTGGGGTGGGAAACAGCCTAATCTCCCTGAAGTACATAATAATGAAAAGAAGAAATCAATGTGTTCTGTCATGGAGGTGTACCACTTGGTGACTGGTAGGTGGGAGCAGAAACCCACCACTGGTAATCCTCCACTGGGTGTTTGGGGCTATGCAGCTGCTGCTATTGGAAATGAAATATTTTATTTTGGAGGAGGGTGT